AGCCGCATAGCAGAGCAGATTAGAGCCGGGGCTCCGGCGGAACCTTTCTTACATAGCAGAGTCACAGACCTCAACTTGTCCGAGAAGATTGTGTGGGAAAGCTACCCTAATCCCATTTCCTATTATCTCGATATCTTGGCATATTTTCGTCACTTGACTTCATTTTAGAATTACTGAAGTAAGAGGTTACAAATAAAATCAGTAATTTTCTAGGTGCAATTCACGAATACCAGCTTCTTTAGTTTGACTCTCATTTCATTGGAATTAAGGTTTATGGCATTCGCTCGAACTATGCAAGCTAATCATATACAGTATAACAAATTCTATATAATTCAACTATTCCACGTATCACAGTTCTTGCTATGAATGTACAATATTCTATTATAGGCTTTTCATATTAAAGTGTTGGAAAGTTGTTGCTGCTTCGTAACATAATTTCTTAGCTGTTGTTTGATTTTAGTCCTTTTGGAGACATGGAACAAAGGCGGTATCAATCGATACGTCTGCTGTCACCCAAAACCAGTCGTCATCTTGAGACGCATTCAGCGTCCCAATATACAAGACGACTGCAGTCCGGACACAAGGTTATAATGCTGATCATGAAGTCGCTGAACTCTGAGACTGTACAAGTGTGCATTCAAGCTCTCTTTAATAAGTGATGTACTAAATAGTTGGCTAACATCTGCTTTTACGGTGATCTTCGATAGTCACAAATAATTTTTATATCGTATTATTTCTGTCGTCGTTTATTCTTTGTATGAGTTGTAAATAACAAAATAAATTAACAGAAGTTTTTGTGATAAATTAAACATAGATATTGGTTGAATGCGAAAACATACTTAAAATTCTATTTACACTCCACGAAATCTGATGGCCTCTTTACTTATTTCCACGAATGAAGCGAATTTATTCAATGTATATTATCAGAAAGTTTAAAGCAAATAACTTTAAGATCCCTGCGAGTATGTCGTTGGCGTTAAGTGGCACCAAGAAGATAAGCTTGAGAGTTTCTTATCAATCAAACCATAAACATTTGAAATCATAAACGCCGCGGCAGGAAGTGAGAATGTTGATTTGTATTCTTATCGCTTGTATAAAGCTGATTTTAAATTTCAAAATGGCACGGTAAACCTACTCCATAGTTAGTCCTGGCCTTATATCTAAGCTAATGCATTAATGAAATGAGTTCTTAGTTCATTCGTTGGTGGTTTTTATTTGCTATAATGACGTAAGTTGTTGTCGTTGTTCACAATAAATTCGGTAGTTGATCATTTTTAGCGCATTTTCTCATTTATGGAAAAAATGCACTATTGTGCTCGCCATGTCCGTCTGTCGTCTCTCCGTCCGTCTGTCCGTCCGTCCGTCTGCCCGTCCGGGACATCACGTTTTCATTTACGGGAAAATGCGCTCTCTGTCACTCGCTGCAGTGAGTACTGAGTTATATTTTTTATGTTTGAAAACGATCAAATCATAAGTTCAGCCCATCCACAGCCAGTTATAAATAAAATTGCATTGAACGATGAAATCGAACACACAATGATCACGGAACTTATCGCTCCATCGATATATGACCTACAATTATCGTAGAACATAAGGCATCAAATAACGAACGATAAGCGTTACAATTTTTAAATTTGTGACTTATGACGGCGCTCTACTTTATTGATGAAAGTTTTCAACATATTTAGTTATGAGGTACAATATCTTTTTCACATGAAGTGTAGCTAGATTGAAACGATATTGAGGCGCAAGAATTAATGTTGACGTGTTCCTGAAGACGAAATGAAAAAAAAAAATTATCTTTTCTAACGAAAAGATAAATATGCCGTACGAGAAGGCCTTACCTGCACAAAAAAGAAGTACGATATCACAAATCCGTTAACTGACCACCATTTACAGTGAATACCAAACCCATCAATGACAATTTTAACTCCATAATTCACTATCTGCATAAACCGTAGGGACGATCGTCATAAAAATTTAAAAGATGAGCTACAGGGTTGTTGCTTCGTTTAAATGAGTTTTCTCACTACCAAGATTACCAAGACTACTTCGTTCATTTCTTTGACCACATTCCGTGCGCCGAGAAACTGCTGACATGGGCATCAGCAATGGCAGCTCACTTGCTGACTCTTCGTTCTAGTTAAAATCAGCAGCCGTCGGTCGCTGATGGTGTGATATGCAACAATAACCCTGTTGAATATCATTATTTCTTATGGCGTTACTTACTCATATAAAAATTTCTCATTCCAATTATAATTATAACAATTATAATTGTTTAAAAATTCACAAATACTCACGTTTTCACGAATATTCTTTACTATTTAATACAATCTTTGTAGAGATGGGAGCTTTTTAAGGGTAAAGTAGAAGCACAATTTTTTTTAATTACTACTGAAGAGATTTTCATAAGCTGATCTTAAAATGGGGTCGTAAGGTACACTCTGCCTCGCGACTTTGTTTACATTTTCATAGCCATTAGCACCAACCTCTCAGACAACGTTTACATTCAACGGTGGGCGTACGTACGATCTGAAATATACTATGTGCTCTCGTAACCAAGTCGGGGCTTGGCCAAAAAGATTTATTAGTGTATCTCACAGCTTGTTTTCTTGTACAATCTGCCAAGACATAGTTTTTTTCTTATGAATGGCTTGAACTGCACGACCCCTTGACTTGTTGAGGCTGTGTGAAATCAGTATTCAGTCTTACCAAGTTGCATCACAGGTATTCAAACGAAATTATTTATTAAGCTTCTTTTTCGGGTCGTTTCAGTCTTGCGTGTTTAAGTAAAAAACATGTAATTCTTACTATTCTCATGGCTCATCATTTGAAACAAACCGTTATAAGAATAACACGGATGCATTGTAGAAATCTTCCGGTTCTCGCTAATTCAAACACTCATTCTATTTGAGCTGAACATACCTCAAGAGAGGTTATTCAAAGAGATATCTGTGCTGTTTTAGAAAGGTTTCCGTGTTGTTTAGAAAAGAAGTTGCATTGTGCTCAGACACAGGAGATTGCGACGTTGCATTTACTGCAACAGCTGGCGAGGTGATAGAATTTTGATCCGATTTTTGATTTGGCAACGAACTTTCTCTGTGGTGACAAAGGCTCATCTCATCTTGATTACAGATATGTCATTGCCAGGAAGAAAAGCTCATAACCGAAGTCTGAACTCATGTTGAGTCCATTACACTATAATTACTGCCAACACATTGCATGTTGGAGCACAGACGTTCATCCTGGCAGCTATCAGACGCTCCTCTCATGCCATATGGCTTACCCCGCCATCTTGCACCTGTCGCATATAATAATGAAACATCTAAAACTTCGACCGACTAATTTAATATTCAGGCGTCAATTCTTTCATTGAAAAAGTGTCTGCAGTGAGAGTCAACGCTGCACTGCTTTTGAGGACCAATTTGTGGATTCATTACAATTCTATCTGCTGTATTTAGGTACGAAAATTTGAAGTGAAACGTAACACGAAATGCGCGGGTTAATGTTCTGGGTTATTCGTTCCAAAATGTGGCAACGCCTTTCTTCAGGAACCTTACGAAGAGAGTCTACGCCTACAGCATGTTTTGTTGTTAATGAACTCCGCATATTGAAGTAGGAGCTAAGCTGGGGATCGCTATATTTTAACTATTTAAAAACCATATAACTGCCTCAGAACCTTAAGAAATAATAATTTTCAAGTGAAATAAACTCGCCTTTACCTGAAATGAATTTCATTTTAGGCTCGAGTCATGGAAAATTTAAGCATACACAGAGAAATGAGTGTGACTTTGTCCAAGTAGCTATATGCACTTTTGCTCTTTAGTTTTTACGTCATCTTGATCCAGGTTGACCGGGCAAAAGAGCGTAACATTGCTGCGCACAGAAATCGCTTCGCTGATTGGACGATAAGAACCAATAATTTTTGTGAATGCACCAAGGTATTCAGCAGCGGAGATACCAAATTATGTCACTAGTTGGTCGATAAGAACCTTCTATTTTTATGAGTATAACAAGGTACTCGGCAGCGAAGATACCAAATTATGTCACTAGTTGGACGATAAGAACCATCGATTTTTGTGAGCGTAACAAGGTACTCTGCAGCGGAGATACCAATTAAATTATGTCACTAGTTGGACGATAAGAACCATCGATTTTTGTGAGCGTAACAAGGTACTCTGCAGCGGAGAAACCAAATTATGTCACTAGTTGGACGATAAGAACCATCGATTTTTATGAGTATAACAAGGTACTCTGCAGCGGAGATACCAAATTATGTCACTAGTTGGACGATAAGAACCATCGATTTTTATGAGTGTAACAAGGTACTCTGCAGCGGAGATTCCCAGCCGGTAGCTGTACGTCCTATAGCCACGTCCTAACTCTGCCCCTTCTCTTACCAAGTCGACCTTGCCATGCCTCTGAGCTACCGGCATAGTTGCCTTTTTTTCACCCCTTGCGTGTTGTTATGCCCGTCCTTGGCTGCTGCTGGACCGACCAACCTCTTCTTATTTTAGGTCTGTTCTCATTTCCTGCCATCCGGGCCTCTTGAGCTCAGCTGGCTCGGTTCTATAACATCCGGGAGATCGCGAAAATTTTCACGGTTTTAAAAAAATATATTTTTTTCGATGTTCCTCTGGTATGCTCTGCATTATTGTTTCGGAAAATAAATTCCTATTGTTTGCAAAATATATATAACACTTAATTTAAGTCTTTCTTTTTTAACCAATAAGATGAATTAAAGTTTACAACGTATAGCAGAATAATTTCCAAGAAAAAAGTACTGGAATAACTTGGCCATTCCTCCAGTTGTAAATTTTCACGAACTTATTCGCGCTGAGTATTGATTTAGTTTCTGAGAATTATGGAACCTTAAAACAAGTGAACTGTTATGAATATACATTAAGTGAATATACATTACTACTTCTTGTAAACTACGTTAAAGTATTATTTAGCTACCAAGTTTATTGTTGTCTGATGAACGTCTTCATTTGTCGCAGGTTTTGGAATTTCCACGCACATTCTTCAATCACCGCGAAGATGGTTCCTCCCAACACACCAGCATCGCCCGTTGTCCAGAATATGTCTGGCCTCCCAGTCCCGCTGCAAGGCTCCCTTGCGCCACAATCGCTCTCCTCATCCGGCAAATTGCCAGACTGTAATCACACGTCTCCTTTGGATTTGTTGCACATAACATCTGTTGCGAAAAAACTTCAACTCGTCGACAAACCCAGTAATTCCAGCGAATCTCCATCCTCCAAACTAAGTACAAATGAGCAAGATCTGAATTCAGACTCGTGTTCGGAGATGAACAGGAAAAATAACGATAGAAGTGATATGAACAGCGATCCAATAAATGCATCCAATCCCAATAGAAGAGTGCGAGCAAACCACCGCAGGAATCTCTCTCTGGATTTCAGGTAATTTGATTGCATGTTCGTGCTCAGTTACCTGCAGTGATTACAGCGTACCGACGTATGTCAGGAAGCGAGCTTTGGTTTGCACTTCTTGAATTTCTGCGTATTTTAACTGAAAAATTTGTCCCTGTCTAAAACTTGAATTCTTTAAGATTTTGCCTTAATTGACTCTACGTTCATTCATTTATTAAAGGAGCGACGGGAAATAGAGTTTGAGCGCAGGATAATAATAGACAAACTTAATGATCATTAATGTCATGATTAACAATAACAGAGAAGATTATTATATTCGTTATTATTATTATTATTATCATTTTCTGTACTGATGTCCACGTGTGGTTGCTTCGCGGAATGTACGAAACTCGTTCTAAAGACGCTGTTTTTTTCTCATCTCCAGAGCGATGGGCATCGAGCTGCCCCCCTTATCCGAGGTAGTGCCCCCCACCAACACCAGCGCCCCCCTGCAGCGACGTCTCCCCAACATACCAGAGCACAACACCCCCTTGGAGATCACCCCGCAGCCCGCCATAACACCAAAGATAAAGCACGTCGTCAGAAGAATATTTAACAGGACAATCAACTAAACACAGTCACTTTGCTCTCTGTCTGAGCTAAATTATTATTGTCTGTATCATATGTATGATGTGCCTTACTTAACCGTGAGAAAGTCATGAAAAATGTTCGGGTAAACACCATGAAAATATTCTGTTTAAAATGTGCTAGATATTTACTGGGATGGATCATCGAAACAGGCATCGAAACAAAATATCGATGATTCCTCTTTAAATATTTTGTACGAAATTACTGCCAAGAATGACGTAGCATAAGTGACAGCTTCCAGCTAAAAACTTTCACAAGATGCAGCTTTGATTTCTCGAGCTTTAAATGAAGTTTTGGGATTAAGAAATAAAATAATGTATTGTGCTTCGCTTCTTATTTGCATGTGAAAAGTTTCGAAGTAATTCCCAAGCTTATGATAGAAGATTCTAAAATTTAACTTAAAATTTGAAACAAGTCTACATTCTATGAGCGATAAATCATGGTATAGGCGCATGGGGCATTACATTAGTTAGCTAGAGGATATGACTACTTATGCTTGTTTGCATTAATTCTTTAACGATCTGTGCTTTATGTTAATATTAATATAAATATGTACTATATAGAATTTTCGGGGGTCATCTGTACTTTATAGAATTTTTTGGGGTCATATGTACTTTATTGAATATTTGGGGTAAATTTTGGGGGGTCATCAGAAAATCAAAAGCATTTTTGCACTTCTTTCTTCTCAGACAAGCGTTAAAATTATTGTAAATATTTCACCTTACTTACTGAGATCGCGGCTAGCGTACGATTTGTAAAAAAATTACAGAAAGAAAGATACTTCAATTCCAATTTGATTTAACGATTTTTCTAATCAAATTTTAGAACGACAATGTCCATAAGGTTGCGTTTGATCATAATTTAGTCATTATTTCTTCTACATTCCCCCCCTTTGTCCACGAGTATATTTTTTACTTGACCACACACCCCTTTACCCTGCCAAAACAGTAGCAATAAAGTATAAAGTAGTACATCCAATTTATGATTATGACATTTTTTTGTATTTTGGGGAAGATCTCAGAAGTTGTTGCAAGAAATTAAGTTTGTGTAGTTATGTGCAACATCGGTAGATAGGCGTCGCACTGTACATTAAAAGGGAATATGCATTGTGCATGGTTCTGATTACTATTGGGACGGGAAATATGTTTGCTCACTCCAGAATAAAAGTTTTACAAAAATGAAACCGATATTTGGATCTGATTATTTTAAGTGCCGAGAAAAGTTTGATCGTTTTACTCGGTGACGCGTTGTTTTGGATATGATTTTGTATGTAATGGAAATTTGGAGAAAGACAAAACTATTCATACGTTTTTTATGACTATGTTCGCCTTGTACAGTATATTTAGTTAACGGTCAAGAAATGCACTTCGGTAAAAAGATTTGTAAGGTTACAAATGGATGTGAGAGGCTATTATGGTAGTTTGGAGGAAAGGCATCCATTGACGCATTTAGTATTCCTAACAAAGGTATTCGATATTTTATCTTATTGAGCCTAGTTACATCTATGCTATGATTGCGACAAACTTCCATGTTTCTATGAACTGTATAGTTTATTCAAGTTGACTGTATTGACGGCAGAATCTTGTCACGACTTTCAATGCTTTGGTTTTATTTTATTATTTTTTTGTACACTTTTTGGTTCTCATTTCATAAATTTTTTCTTTTAAAGAATGAATAGCTTCAGTAAACTTCCGGTGTCAGTAATTTTACTAAATTAATTTAAAGCTATCAGGAAGAATATCACCGTATATTGACCAAAACTTTTCTCTTCAAAGAACTTTTCTCTTCTTTGTTCTTTTCTTCCGACTTATGTATGTAAATAGCGTGACTGCTTCAAACGTTCCTCTTATATTGTTCTTCCATAATATAAGGTATTTTTGTACTTTTCTACATTGCATTTCATGGTGTTCTTCATATTTGTAAATAAACATCTGCTTTCAACCTACCTTTGTTCTTATCACGAATAACGAAGATATAAATCCAAGCTTCTTGCACGCTAGCAAGTTGTTAAAAAAATAAAGTTTTCAGGTGCTGGCAGGAAGTGTCTAGCGGCATATTAAATAAACTTTGTTTCATAAGTTCGTAAACTTTTTTTGAATTCTTTTGTCTTCCGTCATCCAATCTCAAGGATCTGTATTTTTAATTTCTTTAATGGCATAACAGTTAATTCAAAGACAGAAACAAAACATTTTCCTGATTCGTCTCCCAACAATTTGGTCTTTGGAATCATCTATAATTTACTGCGGGATAGGAACGTCGACAGTGTAGGAGAAATAAGAGATCCTTCTTACCGACGTAATCAAGTTTCTTACAAACCACCACTTGTCCGACCCATCACGACGTACACGCTGGGCCTAGCGTGACGTAACCTCTTGGACAGTCGGTCTTCGTATACGCGTCCTTGTCTGGTAACGGAATTTGCGCTGCAACGAACTTCTTTACGATCGTTGATGTTATAAACGTATTTTTAAAGTTGTGTTTAGTGATAAAAAATATCATACAACATTAGGCGTTTGATATTTAAGACAAGATTGGACCATACGATACTGTAAGCAACTTACTCAGCTATGTTGTTTACAACACTCCCGAGTGAAAAGTGAAGACACTGAGTTCCTCAAGCAAATCACGCTATATTATCAGAGCAGAGTTATTTTGCCCTCATTGATCTATCCTCAATATGAGCGCCAATTGTTATATTAGTAAATTGCATTTAAAGTAGACGAGGTTTGGTAAACAACGGTAAAAAAAGTAGCAGCGCGAGCGGGCCATCGAGTGCAGATGCCCTCGTCAAGGCTGTACGAATCTTGGCTGCGATCGCGAGACTTGATCGCCGGCCACAAAATGACACGAATTCTATCTTCATTTGTTTAGCTAAGATGTTTATTGATATTTTGGTTCTCTAAAGTGCTTATTAAACGGTTGTTTCAGTGCTTATTAAACGACTTAATTTGTCCTGCAACGGCGTAATGTCATATAGGATAATAGAAAGCTGGTATTCCAGTGAAGATCTGTGTGGGCCTGCCTGTTTGTGATGCAGGAAGCATCTCGAAAGTCGTTAGAAGCTGAGGCTCCAGAGAGTGCTGAACGCATGTCTCTGTCTCATAGTTTAAATGTTAATAAATAATAGTGTTTCCGGTAAACGTCAAGGATTGGATAGAAAAAATTGCTGTGGTTATGATGGACCGTTATGCTCTTCGGCTGCATAGCGGCGAATTCGCTAGAAGCAAGAATGAGGTTGCGTAATGCCGCTCGCTAACAGGACGACGTCGTCGAGCATTTATTCTTAACAATCAGAGAAACGGTTATCAGATAATATATCTGACCTGTTGTTCTATATATTTATTCAAGCGGGTAGGTTTTTTAACGAGTTCAATAGTGGCGGAACATCTAAATGAAAAAGCTTATTCGAGTTTATTCGACTCCAAAAATCATTTATACTGTTAAGTTATTCAGTTATAATTTTTCTTCAATGCTTGCAAGAGTCACTTGTACAAAAATATTATAGTCTGATTTTTCCGTAGTTATCTCTGCATTCTTTTAACCATTCACGTTGCACGTGATATGGCAACCATTAAAATTTTTTTATGTGTTTCTCATTACCGAGGATAATATTCTCAGGGATAATAAAAATATGATCCCTTCCAGAAATGCTGAAAATTCAATTACAAATATTTTCAGACAATTCTAAACGCAATTATTAAATTCATTCACGCGTGCGAATTTTAATGAGATGAATGCCTTTCTTTGACAACATACATGTTACATATCATACATGTATCACATCCGTGTAATGAATAAGGCCGATGGCTTGTCGTCTTCCTGAAACAGCCGTAAATTTATATTTGGACCTGGAAGTTTAAAAATAAAGAAAAAAGTAATTTATCAATAAATTCAAATGTCGAAAGTTCGTAAAGTTAAGCTTCCTCTAACGAATCCTCAAGACAAACATTTCGTTAGGCCCGGCCGTAGTATAAATATTTGCGTCAAGCGCAAACTTTGTGGTCCTCAATCCTTGAAAATCCTGAAAATCGTACGCTCGTAGGGGTGATTGTAAATTTTACGATGAACGTAAGCTATTGGATGTCCTAAATTTTACAACGAACGTAAGCTATGGAATGACCTAAATTTTACGATGATCGTAAGCTATGGCATGACCGTTATAAATTTTACGATGAACGTATGTTATAGGATATGATCGTAAATTTACAACGATCGTGAACTATGGGATGATTGTTGTATCTATTACGATGATCGTTAATTTTACGAGCTCCAATGTAGTCTCCAATGTAGTGACATTCAAGCATTGGTTGGTGAACGATGGAATATTTATCTTTCATGTATGATATTTCTGCTTAATCTCTTAAAAATTTCCCATTATTCTTCCAATCGTAAATTGAAATTTCTTTGCAAGCCATTCGCCAAATTATTTTCAATTGCTTCGTCCCACCGCAATCCATTTCAACGTAGTAAAAAATTTCATCCAGTTCAAGCACCACTTTTAAGCAAATTCCCACGCATTACATTCAGTTGCATTGCAAAAATTCATCCCACAGAATGTCACTCAAGCAGATCGAATCGAAACTCGTCAATGCGTTTTTTTCTCATCTTTTGCGTATTCCATTAAATGTTTCATGTTAGTGAGGGAGTTCTTTGAAGTGAGCATTGTCGCTGCTTTCGTTTTCTTAGAAGTCACTTGTTTATGCATCACAAAAAGCTGTTTTGAAATATTGAGTCAGGTTCCGCCAATGGAATGCACTGACTCAACTATAGGTCAGTCATGAAATACGATTAAACTCGCACTAATGAACTAAGAATGGAACGTATATAGTTTACACTTACTTGGATAATTCCTTCAAATTTCGTATACAAATCTCTCGTGCAGTTAGCGTGACTTACATCTATTATAGTAAATTGCTTGCATGACAGATTCCATCATTCGAGATAAACGCGTAACTTTATTTGTAAATTCCATGAAATTTAAACAACGAATAAAGATTTGTTTGAACGTTTCTTTCTTTTCCAACCCCGAGCACTGTCATATGGCAGTGCTCGGGGGTTGGAACTTCGGTCCCATATTATACAGACTTTTAGCTGTACTACATGGTCAATTTTACATATGTAACTTATTAACTAGTTTACTTAGAGTCGTGTTAATGTGCATTAACGAGTTTACTTAGAGTCGTGTTAATGTGTATTTATGCAATCGTTCGATGGATAAATTGTGCACATTGATTTCATTTAGCAACAAGATTTCAGTTTAATAAGTCGTCCCCTGTGTTTGTAGTCAATTTGTCGCCGGCGCTGATTTGTTTGTGTAAGTCACGTGTGTCTGAATGCAAACATACAGCGCGCATACACATTGAGCTTGATTAAAAACGCAGCCTGCTCTTGTACTCCACACAGCCTGCTAATGTACTCCACAAAGCCTGCTCTCGTACACCACACAGCCTGCTCTTGTACTCTACAAAACCTGCTCTCGTACACCACACAGCCTGCTCTTGTACTCCACACAGCCTGCTCTCGTACTCCACACAGCCTGCTCATGTACTCCACACAGCCTGCTCTCGTACTCCACACAGCCTGCTCTCGTACTCCACACAGCCTACTCTTGTACTCTACACAGCCTGCTCTTGTATTCTACACAGCCTGCTCTGGTCCTCCACACAGCCTGCTCTTGTAATCCACACAGCCTGCTCTCGTACACCACACAGCCTGCTCATGGACTCCACACAGCCTGCTTCTGTACTCTACACAGCCTGCTCTCGTATACCAAACAGCCTGCCTCTCGTATACCACACAGCGTGTAGTAATACTCCACACAACCTGGGCTGGCACTCCACACAGCGTGTATTAATACACCACACAGCCTGCTCTCGTATACCACACAGCCTGTTCATGTACTCTACACAGCTAGCCTGCTTTCGTATACCACACAGCGTGTACTATTACACCACACGGCCTGCTCTCGTATACCACACAGCCTGCTCATGTACTCTTCACAGCCTGCTCTCGCACACCACACAGCGTGTACTATTACACCACACAACGTGCTCTCGTATACCACACAGCCTGCTCATGTACTCTACACAGCTAGCCTGCTTTCGTATACCACACAGCGTGTACTATTACACCACACGGATTGCTCTCGTATACCACACAGCCTGCTCATGTACTCTACACAGCCTGCTCTCGCACACCACACAGCGTGTACTATTACACCACACAACGTGCTCTCGTATACCACACAGCCTGCTCATGTACTCTACACAGCTAGCCTGCTTTCGTATACCACACAGCGTGTACTATTACACCACACGGATTGCTCTCGTATACCACACAGCCTGCTCATGTACTCTTCACAGCCTGCTCTATTACTGCTCTATTGTGTGGTAATATTACACTCTACACAGCGTGTACTATTACACCACACAGTGATCATAAAGGCTCATCTCTACAGCTGCGACATCGTCACGTTCTCACGAGCATTGTGTGTAGTAACATGCATAGTCGCGCAGCACAGTTCTCATGGCGCCGAAGCATACATATGTATATATGACGATGTTTGGTATCGTTGTACATAACTTCGAATATCTGAAGATATCTTAACAGGTTCAGTATCGCTGTACATAACTTCGAATATCTGAAGATATCTTAACAGGTTCAGTATCGCTGTACATAACTTCGAAGATCTGAAGATATCTTAACAGGTTCAGTATCGCTGTACATAACTTCGAAGATCTGAAGATATCTTTAACAGGTTCAGTATCGCTGTACACAGAGCTGGGCAGCGCTACTTCGAAATGTAGCGGCCGCTACCGCTAACGCTACATGCACCAAATGTAGCAGGCGCTACCGCTACCACTACAATTGCTTAAATGTAGGGCCGCTACCGCTACTGAAAATGTAGCGGACTCTAGTAGCGGCCGCTACATGTAGCGCGC